CCATCCGCGCTCACACTCACACCGCAAGACAATTTTGAGTGTTCCATTAACTTGCCCTGCATGTTTTTGGAATGTGGGAGGAAACCGGAGACTAGTGAACCTGTTAAAAAATTGCGTGACTTGTACTCCGCAAAATACGGTATTTATAATGAGCAGTCTTCAATATAATCTCACGTTTTACTCCTATCGTGCGTCACCAACACAAATATTGACTAAAATGAGAATGGCCAAGAGCAAAACGTATTTGTACACGACAGCATCTGTCCAATAAAACATTTCAATCCTCCCTCTACATGTAGTGGCGTCGGAGGATGATGTGAGAAAAAAGAAATGTCAGCGACAACGTACAGTGGCATGTTTTGCTACTTTCTCAACTATTTTTGAGCAATCTTAAAAGCTTTGATGGCTATCGACTAATAAAATCGCTCCGTTTTTTTTTTTTTTTTAATCACCACCCTCATTCGTGTTTTACATCTATTGACTTTATCAAAAGTCAACAAAAGCAATCAACCGGTCCAAAAAGAGAACCGCAGAAGAGTGTGTGCGTGTACACTTATTCCCGTCAACACATTAGTTGACGGGAATAAGAAACAGCGCAAGTGAATGTTGACGTATGCAAACACACATGCATGCAAATGACCTTTTATCATGCCCTCTCCCCCCAGCCCCCCCCCCCCCAAAAAAAACCATGGTGTCCATTTTCCCCCCCATTTTTTTCCCCTCATCGAACGATTAAGTTGATATCGTGACAGGTTTACGTCAAGACATTTTCACTGACCAAAATACTGCCCTGCACGCCTCGGAGCCGTGGCCGAATGTATTCCAACAAGTGCAGTGGGACATGGAAAGAGGCGTGACTCGAGCCTGTTTCAGCGAGAGTTAACTTAAGCTCTCGGTCGGTTACCGCAGTAACCGATTCGATGAAGCTCACCCGGTCGGTCGGGACCGGGTTTTTCTTAATGAGCCTCGAGTTTTTCTCTGTTCTCTTTCAGAGTCGCGCATTCGAGTTTATTTCCTCATTCATTGAGTCACCAGCCGAGTTTTGGCGTAGCCTGGTACTGCCGTCTGTCATTGAAAAAAATTAATTATGAACCAGTTAGTATAGGAGAGGCCCATTAGGCACAATAAGTGGAGTCAAACATGACTTGGCCTTTTGATCATGATCCCGGCAGGGGAAGAAGGTGCAGAGAATTGAATATTCATTGGCCAAGCCGCTTACTTACACAGTGTGATAGATCACTCGCAAGAACAAACAAACATGGACATGGATAGCACGTTACCTTTGTGTGCTAACCACAAAAATGAAGTGATTAAAAACGCAGACTTGGCTCCAAAGTGGATACTTGCCGCGAAAAGTGCTGTGGCTTGCGTTGACCTTAAAATATCTCCACAGGAGTGACAAGTGAGGTTGGATCGGTGTGTAGTATCGGTGCATTTTTTACGAGTACCGATACTTTAAATAAGTACATTATCAATGCATCCCTTGTAAGTACCAATCACAGATTACTGACCCCACCGTCGAAAACAGCCCAAATAGTGTGTATGCTACTGCTGCGCTTATCTGATCTTTGACCTTCTCCGTGTTCCCCAGAGTAAGATCAAAGATCAATAAAAACATGTGACTTCGAAATCAGTTCAATTGTTAGCCAGAGCAAATGGCCAACAAAACAACTTTTGTTCGAAGCGGGAGGAAACATCAATGCTAAGACCTTTAGCTCTACGTTGTACTGAGTGGACCTTCTATTGTAACACTGTGACATGTCAAATGCTTAATGCCACGAGGCAAATTATGACTGGCCCCAAAACAATTTCCAATTGTCACATACATGACAGATTCTACGTCGCTTTAGTTACTACAATATACCAAGGCATTGGCAGCGCATCATCAAGTGTAATTACCAAAGCTGTGACGCGTTAAATAACCCACACACGTATGAAGAAGGGCAGCCAAGTTGAATGACATGAAAATGTAAAGCGCTGGCCACTTAATTGGACTGTAGGGTCAATTCATCACCGAAGCATGCACTCATGTTGCAAGTACAGAATGTAAAATTGTCCAATTTTAAAGGACAACGAAGAGGAGAGGGGGCGGTCACGATGACGAAGGCATTATCGATGTATTGCTGTGCACTGAATTGCCGACATGATTAGATCAATGTACAGTATTCAGACATGACATGGGGCATTTTTTTTTGTGTGGCCTCAATGTGCAGGATGGGCCAAAGGTTCCATACATGGGAAAATGTAAAAAAAAAAAAAAAATTAGTGCGTTTCGTTTTTGTTCCAGACACGTCTGAAACATTAAAAAAAATGTCATGTTACTAAGGACATTGCGCATTGAAGTTTCTCACGAAGGTAGGCTCCATTTGTTTACGCAGGCGCTCAAAGGAATGACGTAGGAATGACAAAAGCCACAAAAGAGTTATTTCGTGCAAACGTTACATTTACTTGTTGGCCACAAATGAATCTCTTGTGCGTTTAGGTGCACGTTATTGATTTTCCCAGACTAACTACTGGACAGTGGTTACAAATTAGCATTTTATGCGCACGTTGCGTTGAAATTATCGCAATACTGATATACTGTATTTCATGCCTGGGGCTCAGGCACACAGTAGTATATCAATACAGTATTGGAATGAGTTTTGGAATCCGCTTCGCCGAACGAGTCTACTTGGAACGTAACAATAATTGCAACACAGAGGACCACATACTGTATACTCACCACGGTTACATATTGCAGTTTTCTCTCCGCCGTGCCTTTCCCGCAGAGCGCGTTCACCGCCAAAAGAAACAGAATTCGAGGGAGCATGACAAAGTCGGTATAGCTGAGCTTTACTTCGGCGAACTAAAGCAGCCTTAGCCAAGCAGCTCGCCGTTGGTCAGGTGACGTAACGGAGCCAAACACACCAACGCGCATGGATATTATTTACATAGAATACGCCTTAGAAGCCTGCTTGAATGCGAGAGCGTGTCTACCATATTAGATGTGTCAGATGACGAGTCTCGCTTTCGCGCACACAGTAATACAGTATAATATTTGCATCATAAGCACGTAGGCACCATCAAAAAAAGAATGCAATTTTGAATCTGATTATTACAAAGTGTTTGCACACGTGTGGATTTCAAGATACGTCATTTGAGTCACAGTGTTGTGGACCTCGCAACAACCACGCAAACGTCAGAAAAAGCAAGATCCTGAAATGACGATGTCACGTGAGTTTTCTGAATAAAGAGCGTCTACATTTAATCCTGAAATAGTGTCAGGTCAATTTGCCTTCGTTTTCGCATTTATGAAAAATGTCATTCTTTCAACCTGAAATTTGAGGACTTTTCATTAAGTGATCCAGAATACAAGTTTGGACTAAGCAGCTCAAATTAAAAGATTTCCCTTCGATAGCTTGCATCTTGTGTTCCCCACTGCTTCTACAGCCCTGTAGAATGGGGAAACAATTAAGCAACTAACATCAATAAAACTACAGTACAATAGTTACTGTAGCTATTATTTAGTTGAAGATGAAATATATTTATTGAGTTTTTTTTTTAGGTGGGGCGGGGGTCCGCCGTGTTCTTGTGCCTCACTATACCAAAACAATGGAAAGACATGATATTTTGGTTATTTATAGCAGAGTATGGTATAATTTTAATGGTCCGGCCGACTTGACATCTACCGAGGCCGTATGCGGCCCACAGTGTGAAATTGAGTTTGACACCCCTGCACGAACACCTCCATTCTGATATTTAAAACACATTTTTATGGAGAAAAATAAAGAACACAAACGAATAGCGAGATTCTTTAAAGATGGTAAACATCATTGTTGAATTGTGTTGCTTACTATCCGTTTCCAGGAGTAATAGATGTATATCTCTGCCAAATTCACAAATACATGTGGTTGAGACACCTGTGTTCGAATTCCTTGAAGTCTTATACACTTGCCAATTGTTTTTCTGGCGTCACTCTACAAATTGATGTCTCCGTCTGAAGGTTTCACACATAATGGTAACAATGCCCCTAAGGAGACGTGTATTTTGTTCTTTGAATAAGTTGAATATATCTTTCAATTCTGTTTATCGCAGTCTGTAGTGTAGGGATGCACCCGATAGTTTTTTTGAGGGGTGTGTGGGGGCAGAGTACAAATGTCAGTGATTACAATTGAATACTTGCAGGTACCGACTACCGATACTTGACTATGCCACTACGCTTTGCAGTTATGATAAAATGTAGTTTATTTCAAACAAATATTGTTCAAAAGAGAAGCATTTCGTCAACATGGGGCAAGTTTATTCCCCCCAAAATATGCGAAATTATGAACATTAATTCCAAAAAATGTAGGTTAATCATTAAGGGTGACATAATATTCGTGGAAAGAAGACAATTGTTAATTGTTTCTGTTTTAAGATGATATCTAATACAGTATTCTCTTTCGGGCGGTGGTGTCAAACATACGGCCCGCGGGCCGGAACCAGCCCCCAAGGAGGAGGTTCGATCAGGCCCGCAGGATATTTTAAAAGTGAAAAATTACACAAAAGATAACGGAATGAATATTTTTAATAAGCTGCAATTCATGATCATCCGGGGGAACACTGTTTTGATCAGCGTAGAAGACAACAGCAGTCTCAGTCGGTCACGGAGACAGACCCGACACAGCAGTAAAAGCCAGCTACCTAATTGCTAGCAAAATAGCAGTAGCATCAAAGCCGTATTACGACGGTGACTTTGTTCAACGATGCATGATGAAGGTGGCTGAACTTGTATGTCCCGAGAAGCGGCAAGCTTTTGCCAACAAAGGAAATACATGATATTTTGGTTATTTATAGCAGAGTATGGTATAATTTTAATGGTACGGCTCACTTGACGTCTACCGAGGCCGTATATGGCTGTCAAATGAGTTTGACACCCCTGCTTTAGGGTTCCTCGCTTAGGCAGTGGAGCTAAAAGGCCAGAAGATGGCATCATTTCTGCACATTGCCGGTTTCAGTACAGTACACTGAACCCTTTGACACATTTGCTGAAGTCATCCACCCTCCTCCCCTCTGATGTAAGGTTGTTTTGTCCAGCACTAGCGTTTATGACGCATGAAACGCAAAAACATAACTATTTACTCTTGTGAAGTGGCGTTTTTATAAACGTTTTGAACTATTCTACGCTTATTCGTCTTTTGGTTTGCATTAAAATGCCTGCAAATGCAGTCACTGATAAACCGATAAACCGCCTGCTGCCCGGTTGTGCGTTGCACTGAAACGAGATGAAAGAATCACTGGGTTAAAAATACACCACGACTATGCTTACATAACAATTGGGACGTCAGAGTTGTTTGTTTACAAGTGGTTAGTGGCACCATGCTAAATGCACACGAACAAGCCAGAGTTAATGTTGCAAATCCACACAAATCAATATCTCAAGAGAATTCTGCACATTTATAAATGTTTTTTCAGTGTAGGTAGCTATCACGTGGCAGACCTTGCACTGTTTTGATGAAGTCGATGTTTCAATGGCCGTCGACGGATCTTGTTTGTCTCCGGAATAAGAGGTAAGTACAAGGGGCGGGGCTTTCCATGTTTGAATTATCGAGAGAGCCAATAGGCTGCCGAGGAGCTGGAAGATGGACAGGCACGCCCCCCTATGACTCAGGGTTCTCCTGTGGTTTTAGAGCGGCGCGTCACATGTTGTTTTTCTCCACAACAAGATCAGTCCTACGCTTCTCTTGCCTGCGCCTTTTCTTTTATTTTTATTTTTACTTTGAAAACAGCGGACTCGCCTGCCATGGATTAAATGAACGTGGCGTCGTCATATCTTTGATTTGGCTTTTTCGAATTGAGCGCATTGACGTGCTCGGTGACAAGAGATGGCAAGTCCTCCGGGGGCGACGGGACACCTGTTATCTAATGGCGTCAATGGGGTAAAGAAGTGCGGCTACTTGAGGAAGCAGAAACACGGACACAGGCGCTTTTTCGTGCTGAGGGAGCCCGCCGACCGCTCGCCGGCCCGGCTGGAGTACTACGAGAGTGAGAAGAAATGGCGGAACAAGGGCGCCGCCAAACGAGTGATAAGTTTGGACTCCTGCCTCTGCGTCAACAAGCGGGCGGACGCCAAACACAAACACCTGATCGCCCTCTACACCAAGGACGAGTACTTCGCCGTGGCCGCGGACAGCGAGCAGGATCAGGAGAACTGGTACGTGGTTCTGACCGATCTCCTCGCCGAAGGCAGGGTGTACGACAGCCCCGCTTCCACCTCCTCCCTCGTCGGCTTTGAAGAGGCCAACTATGGAATCGTGACCCCAGCGACGGCGGCGTACAAAGAGGTCTGGCAGGTCAATTTAAAATCCAAAGGTCTGGGTCAGGTGAAGAACCTCACGGGAGTTTATAGGCTTTGTTTGTCCAGCCGAACCATCAGTTTTGTGAAGCTGAACTCCGAGATGGCCGCGGTGTGTTTACAGCTCATGAACATCAGGAGATGCGGCCACTCGGACAGCTTCTTCTTCATCGAAGTCGGCCGATCGGCAGTCACCGGGGCCGGGGAGTTCTGGATGCAGGCTGAGGATTCCGTGGTGGCCCAGAACATCCACGAGACCATCTTGGAAGCCATGAAGGCCATGAAGGAGCTCTCCGAGTTCCGGCCCAGGAGCAAAAGCCAGTCAGCCAGCACCACCCCCATCTCCGTGCCCACAAGACGCAACCTCGGTAACTTGCCCCCAAGTCAGACGGGCCTGGTGAGGAGATCCAGAACAGCCAGCGCGGCCGCCACATCTCCAGTGAGGAAGTTTACATCCTGCAGGGTGAGAACCTCCAGCGAGGGCGACGGAAGCGTGCCGCGCCCCGTGTCCATGACAATGCCCGCGAACGGAAGAGCCGCCAGTCCGAATGCTGGCGCTCAACTCAGCAGGTCCAGCACTCTGAGCGATGGACGCACCTGCAGGATGCTTGAAGCGACCTCCAACCTGCATCAAAGCCTGTCCATGCCAAGTTCCCCTCCCGCCGCCCCCAGCCCCATCAGCATGTCACCCGGACAGGATCTCTCCACTCCCAACAAGGCCGGGCAAGCCTACAGTTGCAGCGGGTCCCTCGGCGACGCCGGCTTCTTGCTATGCGACGATTACAGCTGCAGTCCAGTTGAAGCGAAGTTCCCCCCCCTGACCCGCAGCGACACCCCCGACTCCCTGTCAAGCACCCCTTCCTCCCGTGACACGAGTGACCCTTGCGGCTACATGCTAATGCTGGCCGCAAAGTCCAGGGCGGGTGGCGAAGGGGCGGCGATGGATAAAGCTTACAGGAAGCGAACGCACTCCCTCACCACGCCACGTCAGCAGAAAGCAGCGGCGCCGCTGTCTTCCGCGTCCCTGGATGAGTACACCCTCATCCAGGCCCGTGACGGACACAACTCTCATTCGGCCTCACCTAAAGTCTGCTATCCGGAAGATTATGGCGACATCGAGATTGGCTCATCCAGAAGCTCGAGTAGTAACCTCGGCGACGACGGCTACATGCCCATGACGCCGGGCGTGGCGCCGCACTCCGGCAAAGTCGACAACTACGTGCCCATGAGCCCCATGTGCGTCTCGGCGCCAAAACAGATTGTGAACCCCAGAGTGCACCCTCATGGGGCGACCAGCCGGGGCTACAAAACCGGCTCCCCCTCCAGCATCTCACTGGAGGACAACGGCTACATGCGAATGTGGTGCGGCTCCAAGTCGTCTGTGGAGAGCCCAGACAGGCACGGGGAATACATGAACATGTCACCCGGTAATCCACCTGCACTCCAGACCCCCCCTGACTACTACATGGGTTTAATGGCGGGAGAAGCGACATCCGTGAGGCCGGCGTACCTGCCCGGCCACCTCTCACTCCCGGCTAAAGTCCAAACCTCCAAGAATGACGACAACAACCAGTATGTGTTGATGAGCCCACAAAGTTCGAGGCAGAGGGCGGCGGACACGGACTACTATTCGGTGATGCAACCTGCCGCAGCTCAGGACTCGCCGCTGAGCCCTCCAACCGCCTCCCCGGCGAGACACGGCCGACCCGCCAACCAGACCCACAGGGGGAGGCTCGGCAGGCCCAACAGGCTGTCCCTGGAAACGCTCAGGACCCTGCCGAGCATGCACGAGTATCCCCTGCCCGCGGAGCTCCCGGGAGAATACGTCAACATTGATTTCAGCGGCACCCGAATCTCTCCGCCTTCGACCGAGTCGGCGGGGAGCCAGTCGTCATCGCTGAGCTCTTGTGACGAGGGGTCCAGGAGGCCCTGTCTGACGTCTTACATCAAACTTGACATGGCCTTGCACCGGCCCAATGAGGAGGCTGACGCTCTTGCCGCAGAACACCCGGAGACGCTCCCGGATCTCTCCTCGCGGCCCAGCTCGGAGGAGGATGGGGTGTACCGTTTGGATGGGCCCAAACAGCCAAGAGAAGGCAAACCGGGCCAAAATGACTATACGCAGATGACGTTTGGGATGACAAGCTCACCCCCTCAGCTCGTTCCTCAAGTAACAACGGGGTATGTGTGTTTTGGATTGTTTTTTTTCCTTTTCTTTTTTTTTTTTTTTTCCGCCATGAATTGTAGTTGATTGATTTATGACCACGCGATCAAGGAAGTTCAACATTTTAGGGGAAGCGACCGATCATCAAGAGAGGAAGTCGTGAATTTCATGCCTTGCGGCTGTTTATCCAATTCTGTAGGGGAGCATTTAGAATTTATTTTGTGATTTCCTCGCTTGATTTTCTGTTTTGATGATTATTTTCAATTTTCGCAGTTTCATTGAAGTAATCGTTAATTTACGTTTTTTCGGAGGCGGTCATGAACGCCTCTCGAGTCGAGCAGGAGCGTAGCTCTTATCTCGTGGATGCATTGTAGATTGCGCCTTATAATCCAGTGTGTCCAATATATGAAAAAAATGACAAAATAGGCCATTCGTTGAAGGTGCACCTCATAATCCGGTGCGCCTTTTAGTGCGGAAAATACGGTACTTGTCTCTCGTCCTTTGCAGAGGAATCTTTGAATATCGCCTTTAACGCGTATCGTTTTGGAACGGTTTTCTCTCGTAGTCAGAGCAGCAGAGGGAGAAGGCATTCACTGGAGGAGCCGGCCGTCCCAGAAGAAATCGGCGTTTTCCTCCTCGGGGCTGCCTCGTCATCCATACTGGACCCCGACTGCTCCGCCAAGGTGATCCGCGCCAACCCGCAAGGACGAAGACGCCACAGCTCGGAGACCTTCTCCACCATGGCGACCGTGACGCCCGTCTTCCCTTCGTTTGCCCGCGGCGAGACGGGGAAGAGGCACAGCTCCGTGGAGAACATCTCCTCGCGGAGCAGCGAGGGCTCCGACGAGGAGTGCGGCAGCCCCGTCAGCCGACACGGCTCGGCCGCTTACCCGAACGGACTCAACTACATTGCCTTGAACCTGCTGGACAACAAATGTGATGAGCTGGTCGGCTTCAAACCGGTTAGCAGCTGCAAACAGGGTATCGGTGGATTACACAGCACGCCATATGTTTGCTTGGGCTTCAAGGAGTCTGCAACTACTGCCACAGGTGAGGCTTTATTTTACTTATTTATTTTTCCATCCATCTATTTTGCGATCCGCTTTATCCTCGCAAGGGTGGCGGGCGTGCTGGAGCCTATCCCGGGTGTCTTCGGGCAGTAGGCGGGGGACACCCCGAACTGGTTGCTAGCCAGTCGCAGGGCACACATTGACGAACAACCATCCGCGCTCACACTCACACCGCGGGACAATTTCGAGTGTTCCATTCACCTGCCATGCATGTTTTCGGAATGTGGGAGGAAACCCGAGTACCCGGAGAAAACCCACGCAGGCACGGGGAGAACATGCAAACTCCAAACAGGGAGGCCGGAGCTGGAAGTGAAGCCGGTACCTCCGCACTGTGAAGTCAACGTGCTAACCAGCAGGCCGACTTGTCTATTTTTATTTAAAAAAAACAAAAAAAAAAAAATCCTAAATTAAAATCCGGTCATTTTTTGCACCTTGACTCATAGAGATTGAACAAAAACGGATTTGAATCGGGAAGTCGGTTCTGATTTAGAAGATGCAAATCTCTCCAATCCAACGGACTCAAATCGTTCAATTTGTTTGAGATGCGTATCCAATTGTCTTTGATTGGAGCGAGAGCGAAACAGTATCTCGGAACGAAACGCCACATTTGCAGCACTGACAACTTCATTCACGTGGACGTAAAACGACGACAAGAAACTCATTGCGTCATACCGTCTTCGCTAAGTCAGAGCCTATCGAATCACAATGAGAATCCCACTGAATCGAACCGAGTCGTTCTACTTTCAAATCGAACCGCGCTTGAATCATATCGCGCCCCCTTGCATCAAGATATGTACCGAATCATCTTTTATTGCATATTCGGGGTGAATGGCTTGTGAGAATTATCCTTTTTTTTTTTTTAATCTCTTTTTGAGCTAGTTTACATTTGGACATCCTTGTGTGCTGCATTCAATTTGTGCATTTGTCTTCCTGGTTTTTGTTTTTTGGGTTTTTTTTTTTGTTTTTTGGGGTTAGAGTATGTTGAATGACACAAAACGAGAGGCATGCGATTGCACTTTCTGCTCAGTGTTGAGGTTTTCTTTTGTTTGTGTTTTCTCCTCAATTACAAACCATGTAAAACGTGTGGTTCAATCCTAACATTTCCCCCCCGGGGGAGGTGAAGGCAAGGCAAGGCGAGGCTCCTGTGAAACGTGACCGGGCCGAGAACATTGAAGTAAACAACCCTCTGAGTGAGCGTGACGCTACTGCGCACGTAGCCTGCAAACCGCTTTCACTCACAGTACAGTTTGTTCAGCATTTCAAAGAATGATCTTTTTTATTTTTTTTTTTTCCCTCCAAAGGTGACAGTTGTTTTTCCAAATAAATCCGTTATTTGACTTCTTGCAGCAAATACTTCCCTTTAACATGGCAAAGTGGTTTTAACTGTCGCCCGTTTCTCTTATTTGTGATTTAAAATAATGAAGAATAACTCGCTGCTAGCAGACTTTCAAGGTAGTTTCAAGGTAATTCCGCCTGTTGTTGTTGTTGTTTTTGTTTTTTTTTTTTTTTTTATCAGCGAGCTCGGCATTAAAGGATGCGTTTTGCTCATCGTCGTGACCTCTGTGGACTCCTCACCATACGATCAATACCGCGTCCCAAAATATCCCAGTGGACAAAACGGGCCCAGCGTCCGTCGGAAACGGAGAGGGCCAAATGTTTTGTCGTGAAATTGGAGCTCCGTGCGCACCGAGCTCACATGTTTTACTGTGCGCACTCAAAAGGTCGGCGACAGCGCGCGGCGCTTTGGAGAGCCGACATGTGAGATGTGGCACAAGCGAATGACTGTCCTTGAAGGCAAGAAGGGGAAACAACAAAGTGGTTGTGTTGCTATGCGGCTGTCACGGATGTCATAATATTTCCTTATTGCATTCTGAGCAAGAAACTAGCAGTGGGGGGGCCGTGGGGTGGGGAGGGGGGGGCACTGAAGCAGAAATGAATTGTATTTCAGTTCTCGGGTGGGTAGCATAGTCGTTATATTTTTAAGTCATTAAACGACAAGATGTCATCAGACTTGAGCATGGTAGACATTACGAGTTGAGATCGGTGGAGTTAATGAACAGGAATCAGATCAGAGTGAGAGAAGTGAAACTAATCTGTCTGAAGTTAGACGTGACTCACAATTTGCCCCCGCCTGGTTTTGTCTTGTCGCCGATGGCGTAGTGCACTGGTCTCAAAGTCAAGGCCCGGGGGCCAGATCTGGCCCGCCACATCATTTTACATGGCCCGCGAAAGCAAATCAATCACGTCAACTTCCGTGATTGATGCTTGCTAAAAATCTTGCAAAATTTCAAATTCTCATATGTAATAATTTTTCTTGTGACCAGTCCTCATCACAGTCACTTCAACAATCGTTGAATAAACCATTATTCTTGACATCTTGGTATGGTTTTGACAGTCATAATGGCCCTCCAAGGGAAATGGTGACTCCAATGTGGCCCGCAACAAAAATGAGTTTGACACCCCTGGCGTAGTGGGACACCGGTCTTGTCTGCGGGCAGCGTAGGATCGGTTCCCACCCAGTGATGGCACAGATGTTATTTGTCTCTCTATGTGCCCTGCGATTGGCTGGCGACCAGTTCAGGGTGCAGTCTGCAATCTGCCCGAAGTCAGCTGGCATAGACTGCGGCACCCTCCCGCGAATCCTCTTAAGGATAAACGGTGTTGGAAAACGGAATGCTGATTTAGTCGTGATTCATTCGTCGAAACTGACGTTGTCTGCTTCTACGGAATAATATAACAGTCAACGGTTGGACCGATTAGGCCGAAGCAGTACAAGACGTGATGGAAACGGTAGCAAACTTCCTGGAGCCTTTTTGCGTCTAGGAAAACCCAAGGGCAGACAATTGATGATGAATATGTGGCTGCACATCAATATGAGTCGGAAAGTATCAAAAAATAGCCATTCTATGATGATGGAGTCTCTTCGAGCCAAAATAGTGGGTCGTAATCGGTTTTGTTTCCTTCACCAGGACAAATCATGATGGAAAAACACACACCACAACCAAAATAAAAAGCCATAAAAGGATGTTTGGATAAAATCAAGCTAGCTGTTTTAATCCTGAGCTAATAACCAGTAACACGAAACAGCTTCTGCAAAATATTATCCAGCTGAATGCAAATGTCAAGAACCGCAACAAGGAAAAAAATAGAGAGCCTGAAATGTGAACATGCATATTTTGGATTCCAAACTTCAATCTGCTTGCCAAATCTGACAAATGATAGCACTTTAGTAAATGCACAATACAGGAAAAAGTGTACACGTTACCACATGTAGATATTTTACTTATTTATTCATTCATTTATTTTTTTATTGGTTTGTTTATTCTCTCTATAGCTCTATAACGTCAACATACTTCCTGATACCAACGACCACTTTCCTCTTTCGCCAGGGCTCGGGCGCCATCTTGTCGCACTTTCGGGCATGACGGACAACACTTGTAAGAATGCCAAGAGTTGACTTTTACAGTCACTAGCCCGAGGACATGTTTGCGAATAGCTAACGGCGACTCGGCGGCGGTTCAGATCCACAGAGCGGGATTCCACAGTCGTGTGATTTATTTCCTGCGCTGGTTTTATTTGATTAGTTTGCAAATGAGCTGGATTTGAATCTATTGTGCTGGTGACGGAAAAGTACGCGGCGTCAAGACTTAATGCAGCATAACTGTGATGATACAAACGTTAGGGTAAACGGACATGATGTTCTATCTTTCAGTGATTCCGAATAAATTCCCCCGCTCAATGAATCTACTCGCCGCGAGAACAAAATAAGGGCTAACATTTCACTTTTTGAGCACGTGAAGCACTTTTATTTTTCCATTGATGTCTGCGGCGTTTCAGAGAGGAGCTTGTTTTGCTGCTCGGCTGACGTGACGCAAGAGCGAATGAATGCACGCATAATGGGACAAGAAGACGCGGAGCTTGTTTTGCTGCTCGGCTGACGTGACGCAAGAGCGAATGAATGCACGCATAATGGGACAAGAAGACGCGTGCAAAACCCTGCACTTCTGCCTCATTAGGTCCTTGGCTTAGCAGAAGTAAGACACGCGGAGGTGGAAAGGGGGGTGGGGAGGGGGCCGCCCCCGAGTGTTGTATGCCTTGCAGAAAGACGACAAGAATGAACGGTTGCTCTCTCGCCACGAACACGCTCAGTGGGATGGCGGACTTCATGGCGTGTTTACCGAAGAGTCCATCCTGCTGCCCTGTAAAAATGGAGCCAGGTTCCAGACCTCACATTGGACTCGGGCACCATCAAGCATCTCTGCTGATGATTAGTGCGGATTGAAATAATGCGGGCGCGTGGTAACTTTCGTGTGGGTGCGGACACTGATTACCGTATTTTCCAAACTCAGAGGCGCACCTAAAAGCCTTCCATTTTCTTAAAAGCTCACAGCGCGCCTTAAAAGCCGATGCACCTTGTGTATGGTTATTACGGTAATACGTCGACCCCAAAATGGCTCCTTGCTCGAGACATGCTGACAACGCAGAGTTCAAACATAAGGCGATCGGGTTACGCAGTTGAACACGGAAATCGAGCAGCGGCAAGAGAGTTCAACGTCAACGAGTCAATGTTCTAACTTGCTGTTGGTTCAGTGAACTGTGTCGCTGCTTTATTAAATA